CGCTGGGTTTTGGGTTAATATTAAAACCGTTTCACGCATTACGCCCGGGGGGGGGGGGGGGGGGGGGGTAGTGTCCTCGGCTGTCTGCATGCTTGATAGTACAGTTACGCGAGCGACGTAGGCTCGATGCGGCAGCGAGGCAGATGGTGGTGATGAGATGGTGGCGGTGACGTGGCGATTGCGTGGAATATTTTGCTTGCGTTTGGGACTTCGGGCCTGGGCGACGGACAAGGGACATGCCGCAGGCGTGGAAGTGACGGCGCATGATTCCCCTACCTGTAACCTTAGTTGTCACAAGCGTAGATTCACGCCGTCCGGTGTGTGGTCTTTCGCCTTCAGTAACATAGCGCGATGCAACCCCGTTTCCTATCCTCGTAAGCAGGGAGACAAATTGGGCGATTGGTGCCCGTTCGGTGGAACTCTTTGCGACAAGGCAAGGCAAGGGTCGGTTCCTATTTTCTTTTTTCGTGACAAACTGAAACAGGCGTTGAGATCCATTTTCAGCGACAAGATCCTCTCCGTCTGTGCGGCAATTGCTGATTTTGTTGCTTTATTTTTCTCTTGGGGCAGCCAGTGAACAGTATCGGTGGAGAATCGGATATGGTACATAGGATATGACGAGTAGTAGCGGTGTTGAGGCGGGGTTTGAGTATTAAGTGTGATGGAAGACAAATTTGGCAACGTAGAAACTGCCGGTGATCTCGGGGGTGTTTTTGTTTGCTATAGTGGGGGTGCCGTGGTACTGACGAGGGAGAGGGGACCGACGAATTGAGACTGAGTGAGAAGTGATGGCGACAAACTGTTGTTCTATTTCTGGTCTACACGACATTCATTTTGATCGCCACATCTCGCCGTCGTAGCGACCAAGACGGTCTCATGCTGTGCCAGATGACGATCGACGAATGTAGGGATTTAGAGCGGGATGATGCAGGGGTGTTCACGTGCCAAGAGCACAGGACGCAGTATCAGCATCGTTCGTGAAGAACAATCTGTTGGAAAACTTTACGGCGGCGGCGAAACCGACATTGATGGTCTGGGCTCCTTTCATGCGCGCGTTGTGCTCTGTGGTCCATTGGTTGACACCCCTGAACTAAATTCGACCTTTGCCCACGGATCGTCGGTCAGTTGGTAGGTCGGTCGGTCGGTCGGTGTTAGATGGAGAGGCAAAGAGCCCTTATATGGGGTGTATTTGGGTCACCGAGGGTACGACGGAGTTTCATACGGGAAAAAAGTTATCTCGTTAATGTATTTGGTGGAAGAAGCCATGTCAAAGCACCGTCGAGAGGCCCCATTTGTTCTTCTCCTTTGATGTAGGCGCTTCCGAATTGTCTTATCTTTCGATGGTAGCGACGGTGTTATGCATAGTTATCGTTTAAATGTTCCAGCTACGCGGTGAAATTCTTGCCTCAAAGGTGAAGCAGTTTACAGTTTACACAGGAAAATATTTTTTTGTTGGGAGGGGTAGTCAAGCCTCGTGCATGTTAAAAAATTGCTTTCGAAGCATGCTGCAAGCCTCCTCTGCGCTGTTTGGAGGATCCCATGGGCAGAGCATGGAACAACGTCGCCAAAACGTTGTTGCAGGTGCGAAGTATGCTGTGAGCGTGTATCAATTTGTTCGAGGCCTGGGTTTACCGTTGAGGTGACATGGTTTCGTTCGCGAATTCTTGCAATTCGTTGTTTATTCACGGGCCGGACAACAGAAACACGTATTATATTGTGGATGGTGCGAACGTTTGAGGCGGTGAAATGTATCTGGGACACCTCGCATTTTGCTGAGTTGGTATGACAAATCGATTGCTATACTCAATGTCTCAACACGGTTGGTCAGAGTTCTGGTTGCCCCCTACCTTGACTATCGTGCTTTTTTGCGGGTTTCGAGTTTTCGCAAGCATTTCTTGGGGAGCCCTGCGCACCCCTCTTTGACTTCCAAAGCTGCAAAATAACTTTTTTAATTTGATGGCGTTGTGCAAACGTCCTCGTTCCTCGGACGGTAGCTATAATGTGCACATTGTTTTCGGGGGGAAACCTGGTGCAGGTCCAGCTTGTTATAAGACAATGCGCAACCAACACCTCTTCCTCGACCGTTGTGCAACCCTCTTGAAAGCGAACCCTGTACACCAAAGTTTGGGCTACAGGGACGTTCCTTGTTGAACGATTGCTCACGTTCATGGGTCTACATGTTACCCTTGCAGAACACCGAACCTTTTTACGTAGATTCACCTTGTGCAAAGGGGAGTGTGATCTTCCACGCGCGAAAGGCATTAGGTTCTTCCCAAAGTGCCGGTGATATGACAAACGACCGCGGTATTATTTTGGAATGAAGGGCCGTCCGTTGTTCACATTCGATAAGTTTCACCATTCCAGCCACCCAGCACGTTAGACTGAACAATAGTCGTAAGGGAGTGACAAGGTTCAGGTCTCCCACGCTTTCTACAGTTTTGCTACATAAAACGCCCAGGAGACACCAACGGGCAGCCCATGGATGCCGCATGGGCTGCCCATGGGCACTGTGGTGCCCATCGGGAATGCTCACGAACAAGCCCATGGGTAGCCTGTGGGTAGCCTGTGAGTAGCCCATGGGCAGCCCATAGGCGGCCAATCAGAGCCCTTCAACGGGAACCAGTGTAGTCCTTAACAATCGGAACCAGTATACTTTAACAAAGAATATCTGCTTTGGAACGGGTACTATAGCGGCTAACAACCCTAACGCTAACCCTATCCCTCACCCCTAGCCCACATGATGCGTGCTGGTTGGAGCTGGTGGCTAGGTACTAGGTTGATGTGTTGGTGGCTAAGTTCTAGGCTGATATGCCGGTGCGGAGTTCTAGGTTGAAGCGCCGGCGGTGGGCACTTCATGGGCACTTCATGGGTGAGCCGGCCCATGAAGTGCCCATTGACGGCCCATGGGCGGTTTAGGAAAACTGCTGGTAGTTTGGGAGATTGGAAGGTTCAGGCAGGAAACACACAACAAACTATTCTTGGCCATGTTGAAATTCCTTCGTTGGTGATGATTGATTATGATCTTGTACCGAAGAAGGGTTCCTCTCCGTCCGCCCCTCCTGCGGTGCTTGCCTTAGGTTTTTCACGCCAGAAGAGCGCCGCTTGAATAGATTTCGTGTGTGCCGAGACGACGGCAGTTGTCCGTGCCGGGCAATTTCCTTCGACCTCGACCACCGTTGCTGTTTGGGTGCAGCAGCTTCTTCAGAGGCTGAACGACAAAGGAAGATGGTTGACTACCATTGCATCATTAATAGCGCATGGCAGATATGATGGGGAGGCAAGAGGGGGCCCGCGTGTCGTGTCCATCACACGTATCTATATCATCCACATGACCCATTGTCATACTCTGCCAAGCACCCCAAACATCCACCGCTCGGTACGAGATGCGTTCTACGAAACTCACGAACTTCCAGGTACAACGGCGATTAATATCCAAACCAACGTTCATCAACCATTCCAATTCAAACAGTTGTGTATCTACCAATATGACAATGCTCTACGAAATCGGTTGATCTCCTAGCAGAACACGTTCTACGAAATCTACGAAAGCTATCCAATCTGGTGACAAGCTTGTATCCCTTTAGAGGCCTGTCAGACTCGAACCGCTATCTCAAGACAATATTGCTGCCTCCTACCACATTCACCAAATTCGCAAGCAGCCAAACACAGAAAATCAATTACCCTTGGCATCATCCCCAGCCAAGATCAACAATATATCAGAGTTCCGTCAGAACAGGGGCGGGTAGCTCCGGGAATTTTGCCCCATCTACTCAGAACGATTCCTCAGAAAAAAATCAGGATTCAACTCATTGACCAGTTCTACTATTACCTTCGGAAGAACAAGGGCCTAATCATGACTTAACGAGAACGTTGTCAAACCTTTCCTCCAATACCCACAGGCGCAAATATGTATCTTAGCGAACAAACCAGATCCAACAGCCCACATCCCTCCCCGCGCTACACCCTCACCGATGAAACAGTGGCGAGTGTCGATGCGCTTCGAGTTGGGGGTAGTGACCGGGATACTTGCCAAGTGCTATCGTCTACATCGTCCTAACGCACCAAATTGCGCCCCACATCATGGTCCAGAACGATAAAACTTCAGAGGCAGCCGCGAAAAATGTAGCATCCTCCATCCCATCAGATATCGCCACGTTCTCCGTTTCTGTCGAAAACAGGGAGGGGTTCTATTTGCGTCGTGCACATTAACATCACGCACGTAGTGTGAATCAAACATACATCAAGACTGTAGCAACGGCGCCCCGACACCGTGTCACAAGAAAACCGGCAACCCACATACCAGGGCACTTCTCCCAAGTTGGAGGTGGGCACTACCGTCAGTACCAAACTGGTCGCGCCAACCTTTCAGCCCGATATAGCATATACATATCTCGTCTATGTGGATTACAACCATCATGCATGGTGACTATACCGCTCTCGACGAAACGCATCACACACGCGTCGGCGGCACACGCCTCGGCCAAACAGTTTCGTCCACCAGATAGATAGACCGATGGGCAAAACTTCGACCTCGACCTCGTGTCGTCCGCCCATTAAACTACTCGGCTACGACCTCAGGTTGAATCTAATGTACATCGATCGGCACTCCCGTCGACTTGATTGAGCGCTTCTTGGGCACAAGAAGAAGCCCGCTCCTCTCGGTCCAGTCTCACAGCCCGGACAGGAGCTGCGTTGCGCTGGCACCAACAGCGATGGCGGCGGCGGCGAAGAGGCCACCCGAGCGGAAGAAGGCGGCGGGCGCCGCGGCCGAAGCCTCCTATATTGCCACCACCACCGGCCACGCAGATATTGAAGGTAGTTCGTGCGGAGCATCGGAAATAAGCGGCGGCAGCGTCAACGTTACAAATTTATGGCAAGACGGGAGGACAAGGTGAATACTGCGACTGGTAGTTTCCCGAGCACACACGAGTTGTATACGTTGTGTGTACGTGTTGCGGAGAGGTAACGGCGATTCCCGAATCGGAGCACAACGCGGCATGTTCTCTTACCCGCTTACATATGCAAGTATTAAGTCCGTAGTACACTATACCATGTGCACAAACCTCGGATCCTTCATCCTGCGTGTCCGCAGCCATAGCGGAGACTTCGTCGGCTCCATCTTCGTCGTAAAGAACACGCCCACCATCGCCGAAGAAGCGGTCGTCGCCATCGTAGTCGTCATCGCCACCACCATCCCCCCAGAACGAAGGGTCACATGAAGGAAACAAAACGAAGGAGTACAGTCATGTTCCCGATGAGCAGGTCGGGACCCGTGAGTGCACCCGAAAACGCACGCTGTAAACACACACCACTGGATGAGCTCCAGACAAAGAGATGCAGAAAGAGCATACTCGAAGCAGTGGCCATCGCTGACACTCCTCTAGAGCAATGACACCAAGCGCAATCTCTCACACTACAGTTTTGCTAGGACGCCCATGGGACACCCATGGGTCACCCATGTGGTCACCCATGGGCCGCCTATGGGCACTTTATGGGCCGCTCATGCCCATGGGTGCCCATACGTGCCCATGAAGTGTCCAACGTGGGCACTTCAATCTAGAACTTCGCCACCGGCATATCAACCTATAGAACTTAGCCACCAGCGCCAACCTAGCACGTATCGTGTGGGCAAGGGGTTAGGGTTAGCGTTAGGGTTATTACCGGCTATAATGTCCGTTCCACAGCAGATAATCTTGTTTAGGGAGTGCACTGGTTCCGGTTGAAAGATCTCATTGGCCGTCCAACCCAAAGCTGGGCAGCGAACACGGTGTCGAGGTTGTTGCTGTTGTCGGCAGTGGCTGGCGAGGCGACAAGGTTGCTGTTGCTGCCGCCGGGGGCGGTAGTGGAGATAGTAGCCGTCGGACGCTGGCGTAGCAACCCTTCTCGCGTATGCCCTTTCCCGGATACTCAAAATGTACGTGCGGTCGGGTTGAATGGTCAAGCCGCCGTTAACTGTATCGACGTCGTGGAGGTTATCGAGGCCCTGACAAAAATGGGGAATTGGCCGCATTCGTTCTACGGATCGCAGAGGTGCTTGCCGGTGCTTGCGGCATACAAGCTTCATGGCACTGACGTTGCTCGACGTTTTTATGCTTAACTTTCTTTGTAATGTAATGTTCGAATCTTACTTCAAGTTGAGTTAGCGAAAAATGCCGATAACCACCAATTTGTGACGGCCCTGGACTTCGAAACGAAAGAAGATGGCGTGGTCACCCGTTTTCACTTGGTGAGAGAAGAATTGATCAAAACTACTTGATGCCTCATCGACTGCGCACCCGGTACGCAATGTGCGGTGTCAAGCAATCCCTTCATGTGGCGACAACACCAGCAAAAACAAAAAGCGCGTTGTGCCATTGCAACAAAATATGGCACCAGAGACCACGTGCACGTGATGTACTGCAAGCAGTTGGGGGGGTTGTTTTGAGCCAACCACGCCGGTCGGCCCAGGGGCTACAGGAAAAGGGGGGCGGTTTGCCTGCTGCAACCGATGACATCGCTTCCTTGACAGCCAGAGCGCTGCTGTTATAGGGACGCCCCGTCCAGACCAAAAACAAAAATCGAGACCCTTTCGCTCCCGCTCGGTATGTGGTGCCAAAGATCACCGGAAGACAAAAAAAAAACCTTGATTCTATCCTTGTACCCCCAACGTGGGAGTTACACTGATCATGCCATCCCACACACACATCTACGAGAATAATGTAGGGGGGGCTCAAGATCACGACACCGGTGATACCTGCACCGCCCACCGCGTGCTTTGCCAAGAGAATCCATGCTAATTTCTCGCCGGCCAGGCCCATCCCTTGCCGTGCGCGGACACAACTTCAGTCGGAAAAACAAGCCAGGTACCACCAAAAAACAATTAGTATTGGCAAAGGGACGAAGGGAACCACATAGATAGCGAGAAAACATGAAAGGGAAACATATGGCTGGTATTCCTGTCAACTCCAACACATTCTGCCATCTCCTTCTTGCTCTATACTGCCTGTAATTTCAGCCTCTTGATACGCATGGCAACAGCCAAACCAACAGGCAACCCGTCAAACGTTTAGCCCCGTGAGCCCTTGAGCAACGGTCCTTTCTTTCTGAACTCACAGACAGGGAGGGGAGCGCAATTTCCACACCAAATAAAAACTCTCCACGATTCTATCGTTCGGTGCCTGCGGCACACTCTCTGAAAACCAACCTCAATGTCAGGGCTCAACAGGATCTAGACTACGATCTGCAGTACCATCAAACTTCACGCTTTGAATTGTTGGCAGAAAGTCTTCTGTCGGCTGCTGCCTGTGCGTCTTGAGCATCTAAGTTCAGGGACATTGTACTGCTGGGCTCTACGCTCAAACCAACTCATACAACGTCCTCACCTTGCCGAGTTCACGTCGTTCGTCAGAACTTCACAACGTGGATCGAAGACTGGTCGCCACGACGGCGGTGGGCCCACCACCCTTGGGCACAGGTCCAAACAAAATCCCGTGACAAGCACAGCACGCAGCAAAGCGCCCACCACCCCAGGTGACGTGCATTTCCTATCAAGCAATCAGGCGTTTGTGGTTCAGGGGCGGTCCTCCTAACCCTAACCCTAACCCTTGTCAGGGCACGACGCCGACCTCGTCTACGAAAGCCCAAACTTCGTTGCTGGTCCTAGGCCTCATGTGTCGGAACTCGGAAGGCAGAACCTTCTCCGCGGAGGGATGCGGTACAACGGATCCAAGTTGCCGACATAGAAATATGACCTGCTATCTCTTCGTCAACGCCAATGAGGGCACTGGTCCCTGTCAGAGACAGAGGACGGTGCTCTTGCAGTATTCTCCCACTGCCAAGGGCAGGTATTTCCTTTCGTGATATGTAACGAGGAGAGAGAGGTAGAGGAAGAGTGACCAGAGGGTCGAGAGAGGAGAGCCGGAGGCTCTCCATCTCTTCCCTCAGCAATCGGCCATGGACTCCGGAAGAGAAAAATCTCCTCGGTGTTTTACATGCCACTTCTCCCGATGGCATGTTATCCCCGAGGAGTCACATCTTCCTATACTTTATATGTGCACAATGGTTGGTTATATTTTCCGACAGGTGTCCTCCACACCTGTTCAGAATCGGTAAACACAAAACCGAGAGTGGTTAGACAAAACCAAGAGTGTTTTGAAGAGTGGCAGGGCTGCAGCTCATCATTTCATAGCTGATGTGGCCGCAGTGGCAGCTCAGACTCAAGACCGGACGTAGCAGCTGCGTCGGTTGAGGAAGTTCCGCCGCGTTCTGAGGCACCGGTGCGCGAAGATCTGTTTCGGCTTCCACAAAGCTGATCCAAAATTCTAGAATCGACGTATCAGAAGGTCTATGCTTACCATCACTTCAGGCTCCGAGCGCTGGTCCATTTGGTCAACTTTGCGGGTGGTCAACTTGTTGTCAAAGTTCGCCTCCCAGAGCGGCGGAACAACGGCGCGTGAAACAGGCCGCCAGACTGCTCAGGTCCACCGCTCGTTTTTTTCCCACCAAACGGACCTGGTGTGGAGTTGACGGGTACCGATAAGGAGGTTGGGAATATTTTGGATGCATCATACCAAGCAAGTCTCAATGCTCACACGAGAAGAGAGATTCTACACACAGCAACGGAGACTCGAAGCGATCAATGGACTGAAGGACCCAACATAGACTATTCATGTCCAGCTCCACGTAGGAGACTGTTCGGTATAAACAGTACGCGGTACTACACAACATGTCATCATGTATGTGAAAAACGAGGGAGACTGGCACGTGACAAACACGCAGGCACACACGCAGACATTGCTGTGCGCTCGGCCATCACGAGGTTCGCAAGTACCATCCGAATCCCATTCACGCTCATGTTTTCAGCGCTCAGAATAGGCTTGCCCGATCTTCTTCAATAATATCTCCTTGAACCTCTCCCGGCAAAGTATATATCGTTTCCTTTCTTGGTCGAGACGCTCCATCGCGAGCCTCGTGCAAAGCTTGAACTAGTAGCATGCAACACCGGTCTTTCTGAACGCCGAATTTGCGAGGCAGCGAGACGTGGCAGCGTCTCTCTGCTGTGCGCTCTCGTGCTCGTGCTCTTGGTGCACTCAAACACTCAAACATCGCGAACTGATCGCGAACAGTTTTGGTTCGGTTCTCCGCGCAGAACATTGGTTCTCCTTTCACCACGTGCATTTCATTTGAGCTCTTTCATTTCGTACTCGAGCACTCGAGCGCTCGAGCGGCCCTCACAATAAGTCACTTGTTCACTGTTCACGGAATTGTTTGCACCGCGTAAGTTCCATCTCTTATACGGAGTAGATAGTCCACCGTCCACCGCTTTCGAGTCCCGTCTCGCGTATGCACTGGCGGGGTGACCAAGGTTCTTTCTTTGATTCCATGATTTTTATTCGACGGTTACAAAATTACTTTGATAGAGATGGATTCGTTGTATCATGAGGAAGAAAAAAAATCTGTCCAAAAATGGAAAAAGTTCTCGGGTAGGGCACCGAGTTCACACACAGCAGCAGTCGCGCGACGGCGAGCACAATAGGACGTGGTGAGAAACGAGCTGAAAGAACAACGAAGTAAGCAAGTACACTTTGCCGCCACGGAGTGCCGTCGGAAAGTAGTCAGATTGATGCTTGCGAGGGCAGAATATTGTTGATTGGTGATGATGGCAGAGCTGCAGCAATATACCGTGGGGGCCCCGGTTTAGCGACCCCTAGTGTCACGACGAAATGTGGTCGCTATTCAGGGCATGTCGCTAGATCCGGTTTAGGACGCTTAACCGGGAGCTAGTCGCTAAAAACCGGGAGCCTCATTAGCGACCAGCGGTCGCTAAACCGGGAAAAAACGCCATTTCGTGGCCGTGTTGCAGAAGTACGAATGGGTAGTCTTTCCGTGTGTGTTGTTATTATTCCTTAATTCTTGACCGGGTCATGTATATGCGTTGTATTGCAGCAGTCATGCGAAGGTGGAGGAAAGAAGAAGCACCCACCTTGGGGTGGATAACCGCGAAGTACAGTAGTTCCAATACGGTGTGCATTCCAATCAACCAGCAAGCTTGTTGTACCCTCCGACTTTTAAATTAAATACCAGTATGTCTCAACAACAAGTGTTCACAAAGGGTGTCCTTGTATGTCGTTTCGTTTTCCCGCGTGCAGAACAAGTTGTCCCTACATGTGTGTCTGTCTCCACATGTCGACCAACACAAACAAAATCATGGCACCG